TGTTGAAGGAATATTATTTTTTTTTTTACAAAGGCTACAAATCCCCAAAGTTGAATTTGCAACATTAAAGTGGAAGAAAGGAGAGATTGTAAGATTATTGTTAGGGCCGTTTAACTAACCCGTATCACAAGAAGCTGTGACATTTAAGACCTGAGGGTAAACGAGGACATTCTTCTATCTTGGGAGGTAAATACATTTTGCCAACAACCACAAATAGTACATAGGTGCCCTTTCTTTCTATGAGAAAAATATACCCGGCATATTAAAAAACAACTCTACTACACTCCAAGTATGTGTCTGCATTGCCCAATTAAAGTGGAACTAGGTAAGACGGACAACTGCGTGGAGGCAAACTGCTTTCTGGAACACACACTACATGCAGCTATTTGTTTTCTCCCAGCTAGGCAAGTACTCGTTTAATTGGGAGGAAAAACGTCAGAGCGCAGCTAACTGCCTTTTGCTCCTGAGCTCTGTGCCAAAATTGTCAGGGTGGTGCTACTTGGGAGGTGGCGCTTCTGCTTTCCCATGGATTCAACCACCACAACTCCAAAATAAGACTGGCAGGGGACAAATCAAACCAGTGTTCCCTTAGCCACAGTTCATGCAAAGGGAAACTTCCTGGTGAGGGCAGTGAACCTTGGGAAAAGGGCAGGGATCACAGGACAGTGGGATGTGAGACTCTCAATCTGTCAAGGACATGTCTATCCTTGGAAATAAGCCAGGGATGTTCAAGTGTGATTACGAGTTCCTGTCCTATATTAGCAGATGAGTTAGAGAAAAAAGGAACAGTGCAGAGAAGATTTCTAGCACCGTGGTTTCTTCTTTAATCATTAGTTTGCACAAGAGCTTTACACTAGGGAAAGCTGCATGCAGTCACGAATGCAGCAGAGCCTTCGTGCTTAGACAGCACCTTTCTCAGAGGATGTTCTCAAAGCAGTCTGCCTACGTGAGATCTCTTTCACAGTTACTCCCACATATTTTACCGATGAAATTGCTGAGACACCAAAATGCCACTCAAGGCTATGCAAAAGTCTGTGGGCAACGCTGTTTTTCCGAACAACAAATTTGTCTGAAAGTTCCTTCATTACTCCCACATATTTTACCAATGAAATTGCTGAGACACAAAAATGCCACTCAAGGCTATGCAATAGTCTGTGGGCAACGCTGTTTTTCCTAACAACAAATTTGTCTGAAAGTTCCTTCTCCCTGCTGTTTGTAGAGGGAAAAAAAAAAAAGGCTGAGAGCAGAGCACAGAGTGGAGGAAAAAATCCAAAGACACAGAGTTTACCTATCTCCATGTTCTTCAGACTTTCCTTGTGCTTACAGATGTAGCTGCTTTGTGACTGAACTTGCCGCTGCGCAAGGCTGATTTTAACCTATCCCTCATGATCTATGTCAGCGGTAGAGGGAGTTTCAGAGGTGGTAATTTTGTTTGATGGAAGGAGCCGATACAGTTCTGTTGTCAACAACTTGCTAGGCCAGGATCAATTCATCATTATAATTACCTGCCCCGGGCCTCCTTTGGTCTCGCTTTGCTTTGCCAGCTCCCTGGACACGTTACCTGAGCGCAGCTTTCTAACAAGCCCGCTGTTGATTTAGTGTCACTCGAGGCTAGATGATTCCTGCCCCCCAGCAGCTCCTAGACTTTGCCTACAATGCTTGTACGGAGGCCAAACCACACATCTGCACAAATAAAACCAGGCAAACGTGCACCGAAATGGATAGGCTCGAAAGCACCACTGTTTGGAACGCTCTTGAGGACACCCAGCCTTCTCTAGCTACCTGCACATGGCACAAGAGCACCATAAACCCTTCGACTACCCGCCAAAACACGCAGCACGGCAAGGAGCTAACAAAGAAGGCAGAGAGGGTCACTCAGGCCGCTGGGGCAGGTGTCGCAAGTCTGAGAAAAGCTATTCATCACCTCAGAAGTCAAAGCAAACATCGCCAAGATCAAATGTTCACAACGTCCAGCTTCCCTTAATACCTAAAGATCGTTTCTACTGAGCCCTCGACAAGGGGCCTCCTGGATGAAAGACCATTTCCTCATTCAAAGGAGGCAAGTGCAAAAGTGGTGCTCTTTAATTAGGTTTAAAGAATTTCTAAGTCAAGATTAAAGAGTTGCACCGTAAGCAACAAGAGTTGGTAGCACTGAGTACACTGGGAGGTAAGGATAAGTTGCTTTATAAATATGTGTGGGCAGGGGACAGTGAAAACACATGTTTTTAGGCAACATGGCTGACCTTGCAAGAAATGTAGGGGTATAAACGAACCATTTAATAAGTCAGTCATATATCAGTCTTCATTTTCAAAAGACGGTGAACTGTATTCAGAAAATGCATATTCAAACTTTCTGAAACCAAACTTAAGCAGAAACCATACCCAGAGTGCCCTTTTTTCAAATTTTTTTTTTAAATACTTCCTGCAGCAGCCAAGTTTCTGCAGACTGTCCTTTTGGTTTCGGTAGAGCTGGGGGTGCTGGCAGTGGAGAGAAGGGACTTTACGTGGAGGAAGGTGCCTAAATTGCACTGTGGAAAGGTAAACACCCCCAAAAAAGGTTTCATTATAGATAGAAAAGAAATGATGGAAGATCTCCCAAAAAAACCACATAATTGCTCCAGCAAAGATCCTATCTCTACCTGTGCAGCAAGCTCAGATTTCTCATTTTATCTTCCTGCAGACCCTTCAGAGAATAATTGTGGAAAAAGCTGAGCAAAAAAAGCCTCTTACAACCAGATTTGGAATGATTTCAGAGATCTTTTGCTCTTGCTTAGAAGGAATAAAAAAATCCATTTATTCTTATCAATGAAAAGGAAATTATAACAAGTAATTAAAAGCGTTAGAAGAAGTTTTCCAAAGGCCTGAGATGAAAAAGGCTGAGTAATAATAATAATAATAAAAACCCCAAACTGACTGTCTTGCCAACACAAACTGGGAGAAGAAAGTTTAAATCAGCCAGGAACTTCCTGATAGATTTAATCTGCTCACAAAATTCAGACAGAAAGGCCATGCTATATGCTCTAAAGGTAGGGACGGTACTAAGAGCTGGAGGAGCGTCTGGGCTGGGAAGGGGAGGCACTGTGGGACAATCTCTTTCTGGGGTGACGGTAACAGTGGGGTTGGAAGGCCAGGAGAATCCCCTTCCTCTCTCCGGTACCCTTCCCACACCCCTTCTGCCCTCAGGCCTGCTGCTGCCTGCACAAGGTTTCCCTGTCAAGGGAAGAGGAAGAAGCGTTGGGCAATATTTAATGGGAATGCCTGAACTGGCCCCGAGAATGAGCGGGCCCCACACAAATGCAGCCTTTCCTTCACAGGAGGCTTTTGGCTGCTGCACCAGGAGCTACTGCACCAGGAGCTGCTGCAGCTCCTGCTCTCAGTCAAGAAACCTGCACTTAGTTGAAGATAAACATCAACTGCCTTCCTATCAGCCTGAGGTTCTGCATTAAAACATCCCTCATTATCATCACTCTGCCGCTCTCTTACTCTTCCAAACACACTATTTGTTCCATCCACCATCATTCTCTTTGTGATTTCGGCTTACTGGGACTTCTCCAACAAGGTGGTACAGCATTTTTAATTAAATAAAAGTTACTTGAGCAGCTGATGTAACTGTTTTATTAATGTGTGGGGGAGTTAATCTCACTACAACAGCTCTTTTTTGAATGTATAAAGCAAAGCTGCCATAGGCCAGATGTGCCTCATCCCCCGTGGGCAGCACAGGATCACCAACTCCCTTCACCTTTAGCGCGGGCAGGATCACCACCCCAAAATGTCTATCCTTAGGAATTAAGCAAGCCATTAAGCACCCAGCATTTCTTCTCCCCTCTCAGCAATAAATACACAATCAGCACCTAAGTAGCTCTCCAAGTAAAATTTTGGTGTACTTATTATCCTTCCTACATCGTTATTCTTTAAGCCCAGAGAGAGACAGCCATTAACCGCCTTCCTGGCCATCAGCACAAGCGACCTGCTTTGGAGCTAACACATGAAAATAAATGTACACACCTTGTTAGCCAGGGCTGGGCTGTCAACGCTTCTCTGCATGGAGGGTGGCACTTGGTAAATATCTTGCCCCACGAGACCATGACTAGTGGGTATCTGGTAGATTCCCTGATTCAGGTGGGAAGGTGGCACCTGGTAGACGGGGTCCCGTGCGACGGCATGCGAACTTGGCACCTGATAGATTTTTTGTTGGTTGAAGGATTGATGTGTCAGTCCCGAACTGGACATATCCTGAGCAGAAGCACTGTCCTGCACCACGGGGCCTATCAGAAGTTTCACACGGTTGCCCGGAACGATGCCTTGCCGGCCATGTAAGGAGCAGAGCCACCATCCTTCAAGGCCTTCGGTGTTCTGCTCTATCACCGTCAAAATGTCTCCTTTGCGGAAGGCCAACTCCTCTGCGCACTCAGGGACGTTATCGTACAGGGCTCTTGCCATAAGATTCTGTGGAGGAAAAGAAAGGGAAGAAATAAAAATGAATACACTAGTTATTTAAAAAAATCTTCGCAGAGTTAAGAACTGAGTTTGAAAACGATGCGCAGCAAAAGAAAATACCATGGAAATCAAACAACACAGGATTTCTTTTTCCTAAATCAGAGACAGAAGATACTTATACATCAGTGCTAGGTACCAAATACTAGTAGAGAGCCCATCCCTATGTAACTTCAGAGGAACTTCAGGGCAGCAAGGGGTGGCTGTGGCCTATGCCAGCGCACGCAGAAGCGTGCGTAAGCAAACGTGCTTGGGCCCAGCAAGCCGTGCAGCCACAGGCTGATCCCCACGTATGCCCTGGCGCCTCAGGCAGGCTCTGCCACCAGCGCTGAGCCCGGCTCTGGCACCCCTTCCCCACCAGCATGTGGTGCCATGTGGTTTTAGCCAGCCTGGAGTCCATATCAACTTCAGGTCAGCGAGTTACAACCATCTTCCTAAAAACCTGCTCTCTTGCCCTTCCTCTTTTTCTCTGCAAGCCCCTCTGGCACATCCAGCCCCAAATAATCCACCAAGAGAAGGAGTCGTTGCAAAGCAGGCAGGCCGTATGTCCTGGCATTCCCAGGGCTGTCACAAAGGCCCCGAACATCACATTTCTTGGCTCTGGTGATGCTTCCAAATAGCATCTAAAACAACCGCTTGCCTGTCTTTCCGTGAGGGCAGCCAGCCGAGATGGTTATAAACTAATTGCAAGCACTTGAAATAATAAGGAGCCCTGGAGTGTTCTGAGGTATCTGGACGCAGCATTCAAACTGAAATGGTGCTAATCCATCCTAAGATGAGATATGTTTTGCTGCAGCTGCCTTCCAGGTTTATCTGTCTTCTGCTAAGGGGACAATGTCAAGTACTGTTTAGGGTTTTTTTTATCGAGTGTGTCTCTTGGACAAATCAAAATATTTTTAGCCTCCCCTTCTTTTATCTTTTGCCACAGACAAATGCTGATGTTTCCCTATCATCTCTGCACTTATCATGAGAGCTGACTTCCATTTGGCCTTGCTCAGTTCAAAATTTAAGGGTAGCAACAGCCAGGAGGTTGTATGAAGGGCTGGGTGGTAGAAGGAAGCTCAAATGTCACATAAAAGGTAGATGAATGGGCTTCTCCCAAGACATGTGGGGTTGAAACAGGGTGCACGGGATCAGTTTTCTTTTCTCTGAATGGAGAATCAGCTTTCAAATGCCTGAGAAATGCTGCCTGCGCCTTTCACCAGCATCATTAGTGAGGTCAGTATAAATTAAGCTTTGGCCTGGAAAAGCGGAGCTTCCACTTGGAGCTCCCATGCTAGTGGCTGCAGTGGGCCCCACGTTTCTCTCTGTCTACGCTGTTCCTCAGCCAACAACACAAAGAAACGTGAATAAAGAGAGCAAGGAGCAGCTCTGCCCACACCTTGCCACAACTGTAGGACTGATCTTTAGCACGGTGAAAACCACAGCGCTCCTGTCTAGGATCTTACAGTGGTACCGGTCCTGTGTTGACTTTGCTGCTCGGCCGAGCCCAAGAAGCTCACAAAAGAAAAGCTCCTGTCTAGCCTGAGTTAATCAAGTTAATCTAATGTCTTTCTAATGTGGTTTTCATAAGAAAATTCACCAGTATGCCTAGCTGAGCTTCTTTAACTGACTGCTTAAAAAAGGCCTTTGCAGAGAGGGTTATTTAAAGAAGGAAGACGATTACAGGGGCCCCACAAAACACACAGGCTATATATACAAGAAATACCTTTAATTACTAAGTAGAGAGGAGTAAGTATTTGAAAAGGCTGATTAGCTCCTACAGCAAAGCAAATCTCAGCACAAACCCTGGAATGGTGCTTGAATTAGAGCAGATAAAAGTTCCCATGTGAATTTTTTTATCCCAGCTGCTCATTATCTCTGTCCTAGTGACCTTCTCACCACCTGGCGTGCTGCATGTTAATACTTTCTGGACGTGCTTCAAGAGCTTTCTTGCTGAGAATAGCTTCAGAGCCTCGTTGTCCATGTTAACTCAGGCCCCAGCATGTGAATTAGACTAATTGGTTGCCACTCATTTTGCAGCAGTCCCCGCAAGGCCTTCAGATGGCTTGTGGCCACCAGCATCGCTCACTGACGGAGCAGCTCACATATTTCTCCACAGGCAAAGCAGCACTGGAACCAAAAGTATGAATCTTGTTACTTACTTGCCTATCGCATAAGTGCCGCTCACGCTGGGCACAGCCGTTATGTTTTGACTGCCTCTGCTCTTCCTACACAGCATTTCTTAGCATGAGCTTTAGGAACATGTCACAGTTGCTTTCATTAGTTAGCATATTTGGTCTTAGGGAAAAATGAAATAGTCACCACAGATGCTCATAAGCAAAGCTTTTAGGAACCACAGAGCTACATTTAACCTGCTGGGGTGACCAAGACGGGAGCTACTACTTTGTCACACACAGATAATATCCTGATGCAAGTTACTCTCAATACTTGTTACTTGTGCACTTTATCTAGACTGAACTAGCAGGTCTGAATAACGTTTGGCTGCTGTGGGCATCTCACAACACCCATCTCCCACATCTCACAACATTCATCTCCCCAGAGACAAGGCTGGATTATCTGAATTTAATTTTGACTTGCTCTTATAGACATAAATCTGTCACTGAGGTGTCTGTGAAACAAGCACTGAATAAGCACTGACATCCAAAGGCAAAGGCAAAAGCACAGGAGTGACCTTTTGTATGATTAAGTGCTAACAAAACTTAGCCATTTCCTAAACAAATAAGAAAACTGGCACTAGGGAAATGGTTGATGAGAAACTTGTCTTGGAGCTTGTTTTGGCAACTGGGAAGTTGCACAAAAGTCCCTTTATATCACTAACACAGTGTGTAAAAGAGGAGGGTGACAGGCTATGACAGGAAAGGTCAAGTTCTGAAATAGCAGGGGGAGTATCTGATCCTCAAGTAGGAACAAATTTTGGTTTGCCATGGAAACCTGCTGTGCTTCATAAAATGACCACGTGGGCAATTACTCCCTTCTTTTAAGAATATTAAGGATGGAAGTTGCTACCTTAGGGGAGACTATAGGGAAGATGGGGCCAAACTCTTCTCAGTGGTGGCCAGTGACAGAATGAGGGGTAACGGGTGTAAGTTGAAACACAGGAAGTTCCACCTCCATATGACGAAGAACAACTTTTCTGTGAGGGTGACAGAACCCTGGAACAGGCTGCGCAGAGAGGTTGTGGAGTCTCCTTCTCTGGAGATCTTCCAAATCCACCTGGATGCCACCCTGTGCCACGTGCTCTGGGTGTCCCTGCTGAAACAGGGCAGTTGGACTAAATGATCTCTAGAGGTCCCTTCCAACCTCAACCATTCTGTGACTCTGTGATTATTGCATTAAATGCCTGATAAGAGCAGTTGTGCTCTCCTCAAAAGCTGGAAGTGGCTGTGGCCTAGATCCAGGCGCTTCCTTCCGAGCCCCGTGTGTCACAGCGGCACAGCAGCCAAACCTCAGTTAGTGAGTGCTGCTCTAGAACTCATTGCTGGGAGGAAAGACTCAGCTCAGAGCACTTTTCTTCTCAAACCTTACTAGTAACACTGTCACATTTCTAAGTTTAAGTTAGGGTCTGGCCCCCACTGCATTCATACTTGGTACAGAAAAAAAACAGAAAGTGTTTGTTCTCAAGAAGCTTAAACCCCTCAAAACCTTGAACTTGCTGAGCACAGTAGAAAGCATCCTCTGTAAAAATCACTGAAAAAAAAGAAGTTTTTCAATCCTCTGTTAAAGAAGTGTTATCACAGTTGTCAGCAGGCCAAAATGAAACACAACCTGACTCTAGCAGGGGGATTTTAGCTGAAACATGTTGCAAGGAAAGGCTCGGCAGATTGTGGACATGCCTTGTGCCACAACTTGTATCTAAAAGCTAAACTGAAATGGATGCTCTCTAGATTAAATGCAGATTACAATGCCTGCGGCCTCACATTTCCACATTAGTTGAGACAAAAGTAAAGCTTTTAAGTTCTCCCTAGGCAAACTCTTGGAATTTGTAACTTCGGGGTTTTTTTTTTTAATCGATGGTTTCTGTACCTAGTGCTGAATACAGAAGGATGGAAATATCTTAGAAGAATTTGACCTGTTTGGTTGGTCTTCCTCTAGGGGAAGAGGACCAGCCGGCTGCTGCTGAGGCCGAGCGGCAGGAGAGCGGGGAGGCAGGAGTCAGAGAGCGTGCTGGAGAGATCGACGCTTGCTGCCCAAGTAAACACTCGCAGTGACGCAGGTAGCGGCAGCTTGATGCAGCGAACGAACACTCAAGGAAAAGGCACAAGCAACCCCGAGCTCGAAGAGCTGCAGCTGCTTCCCCCAGCGAAGCGGCACGAGAACGTTCCCCAGCAGCCTCTGCATGCTGACATCCCCTCTGCGTGTGCGTTTTCATTTTTCCTGCCCTGTTTGGTCTTTTTTAATAGGCTTCCCGTGTGAGGAGTTTGTGAAAACAGTAAAAGGGAAATGACTTTTATTTTCTAAATGCAAAAGGGTGGAACTCTTTATTTCTATTATTGAACAATCTGTTTCTTCAAACTCCAAGCAGCTCCAGTGCGACTCTCAGCCAGCCTCAGGAAAAGGAAGGAAGAAAGGAACAAAGGAAGGAAAGGAGAGGGCTCTCCCCCCACCCAAAGGAGTGTCTATGTGCAGAGCCACAGTTGCAGTTAGGTCCGATATGACTTTTAATTATCCTTCACACCATATTTATGCAGGTTCCCTTGCCTACCTTTGGTTTTCATTACCCCTTGTTTTGGCTTTACGCCTCTTCAAAAAACAAATCGCTGCTGCTCCAAAACAAGCGTCAGCATTTGTGTGCAGCAGTTAGGTGGGCTGTGGGAAGCCTATCGGTAACAATTTGCCTTTAAGAATGAAAAAAAAAAAAAACAATTTGAAAATTTAGTGAAGGGTGAATTTTATCCTGAGAAAAATAGTTTGACTACAAACAGTCCTGGTGAAAGGGAGGGACATTCATG